AAATTTGCCTATTAAAAAAAAAGTGTAACAAAAACTTTCTAAAAAAGATTAATCAAATTACAAAAATAGTTCAAAATGTCAATTAAACAATAAAAACTAATAATTGTATTATGCTAATGCATTGAATATACGTATAAACATTTGATAATCGGCATAAATACTAAAAAAGAATTTTTTGTGTACTCGATATAGTTACTACACTAGTTACGACATACGCCATATGATCTGACATACTACACAAGTTACGGCATACGTCATATGATCCGACATACAATTTTTGCCGCATGCCGTTAAAAGTTGCAACTACTTAATACAGTAATACGGCTTATCGTAACGTGATCAAAGTTACACCACTAAGTTATGCCTGCACCTCTAAGTTCGAAGGAATTGAATTAGCTAATTAAGCTAAGGATCAACACGCATTAGTCCGATCAACCAATTAAAATCCGTAATTTGCATACACAAAATTCAGCTGTCTTTACCCGTAATGTCCTTTGGACAATCAGAATACTTATGTTCATAGCGAACTAAAAAATTACTATAAATACATTTTCGCATTTGGCGGTTCGTTATTGTCGCACCGACCATACACAAGTATTCAAAGACACGCACTTACATACGTACATACGTAGGTACGTAAAGCATTTTATTATCCATTTACAGTAGTTTTCCTCAACGTTTTGTTAAACTCTAAATTCTGCATGGAAAGAACATTGTCCGATAATCAAATTCGGTTATGTACGATGCATAATGGAATTCTGTAATTTCTGTGTAGAAATCTGTACCTTTCTTCGTATTAGTATGCGCAAAAATGCGAAATATGTATAATACAGTACGTTGAAATAAATAACATAACGTTAACCAGCATCTTAGGAAGTGTATCGATAATTATATAATACTATTATGAATTAAGGCCATTCTACATTTTATTCACATCAGAAAGACTAAAAAGAAAGCATTAAAGCATTATTAAAGAAAACAGTCTCACACACACACACACACACACACACACACACACACACACACACACACACAAGTGGATCAAATTATGCGTAATCTTTCTAACCCTAACTTAATTCCTTCGGAAAGAGTAAAAACAAAGCATTAATAAAGAAAACACTGTGGATTAAGTTATGAATAAATTTTTATTAAACTTATTTTCCCCCGGTAATGGCAGGAAAGAAAATATTAATGAAGAAAATGCAGACCAAGTTAATAAAAGCAACGCGGATATGGCCTCAACTTCAATATTTGGTGGTAAAATGGATGATGAACCCCAAACCATAAATAATACTCTGACTGCATCTACATCAAACAGCTCGCAAAAATCGTCCTTCTCAGAAATCTCTTCCGAAACATCCACGGCAATTTGTAATGATTTGCCACAGGATAACTCGATAAAAACCATGATAAGTTTTCTTGAGGGTCGTATTCGACAGTTTGAGGAGAAGTCAAAAAAATATGATGAGGAATATAAAAGGCAGAAGGAAAAACTGAAAAAGGTAGAGGAAGAATCGAAAAGGAGACATGAAGCAATGCGAAGACAAAACGAGCATTTAAAAGAACAATTGAAAACTTTGGATGAATTGAAAAACAAGAAACCAAAGAAATAATTATAAAAAGAAAAATAAGGTTTAATTCGGTCCTTTTATTATATCCATGTTAAATCTTTCTAAATCTCATACAATTACGTTCATGATACACGATATAAAATCGCAACATAATTCATACATTCCTATTGCTTCCATAATAAATGAGATGACTTGTTATAAGATAAACAGTGTACTTCGGCAAAGTAGTCATATAAAAATCGAAGTTAAAAAATTGGTTTTCTCGTCATAACCCAATACGCACAGTTTGGAATAAACAATATTATTTCATTTAAATTTTAAAACTTTTTGGAATGCATTTTATTAGCTTAATTGTAGGATTTAGAGTTATCTTTGATAATAAAAAAAAAAGTACAAATGGATTTTACTAAGGTTTATATTTTCAAAAGCTTCAGCTACTACAACGTTCATAACAACTGATCAATTAGAATACAAACTCTATTTTAATATGTTTATGTAATATTAAGCAAGATAATTAGATAAATTATTGTTATATAATAATGATTGTTATAGGTGTGAAGCCGTCAATGTTTTCGACGCATGCCAATGTGCAATGAGAACCAAAATTTTTTACACAGTGTTAAGTTAATTAACAACTTGACAATTTGTTGTATTAGAAGCTTCAACTCTTCCAGGTGTCTGTGCATTTTTTTTTTTAAGTTCAACAATTTTAGTGTAATCAATAATAAGCTTGGCAAAATAAGCCTATGGAAATCGAATAAATGAATTATTAACTATATAATTTTTATAGCAAAATTTAAAATTTAAACTAGCTACAGTAAACATACCCCAACCAAAGATACAACAAATTGAGGAATTGCTATGGACTTTTCCATATCTCTGACAGTGCTGTCTGAATAAGGAGTAACGAGGATAACGAGGAAATAGATGTTATATATAAAATGGACAATTACGGTAAAAATAAAAAGTCTAGAATAAATTTTTAATCCTTGTGCTGATTCCTGTTTATTCGAACAGAAAAAATGAATCGTATTTTTATAACCTTTGGAATATAATCATTATCGTACATCACATACCCCACACCAGCAGTAGATAGCGATTAATCCAAAAATATACATGGCAACCATAAGAAAGCTTATAATTATAATTATAAGGAAAACCACTCCAGACACCTTTCTTAGAGCAAATGATCCAGCGAG